TATATATATATTCACTGAAAAACAAACAAGGGTAGATGAGATGGCTCAGCTCAGCAGGTAAAGGCACTTGCCACCTAGCCTGATGATCTGAGTTCAATTCCCAGGACCAACATGATGGAAAAAGAGAACCAACTCCTTCAAGTTATCCTCTGACCTCCTCTACACACATATCATGGTACAAGCACACCCATACACATACACGCACACATACACTCACAAATAAATAATAAATATACGTAAAAAATGCAGAAGGATAACAATAATCCTAGACCATCAGCTCTGAACTAGAGGACCAAAGTGACTTTCTGGTACACCATGACAATTCATGACTAACAACAGCTTAAGAAACACAGCAAGTGACTTCTTTCATGTCCATGTGAGTTTTAGGCAAGTCAGAAGTAGTTAGTTGATCTACACTGCATGCACGCCTATGTCAGCTCTGAAAATTGCCATATTCATGAGTTATCATCTGACATGCTGTTAGGGTAGGGAAGAGGCTGAGAATTTCAGCTCACAGATTCCTAGACCTACAGTGGAGGACACTTAAACAAGCTCTTAGAAGAGTCTAGAGCTTCAATTATGGCTTCAATCTTTTTTGCACACAGAAGTGAACTCAGTACCTCTCCTAGCAGCATGCTTGACTTGGGGCAGCTGTGAGACTTAGGGAGTTCTCTTTATGGTCGGTCATGCCTGCCTCCCTAGTGTCAACACACAGCACCATCTAAGCAACAGCTGAAGGACCATCTATGCATGGCACTGCCCACACATCTCCTGATTTTTTTCTCCTCCAAGCTAGAATTCCTTAGCTCCTTCAGGTTTGTGTAAACTTGCTCTTCCTTGTGTGCATCCCTTTGAATAAAATAGGCCTTATCTCCTCAAGAACCTCTGGCGTCCTAACACAAATACAGCTTCCCTGAGATTTGACACATTGAGCTGAGGCAGAAGTTGCCCAGCACTTGAGCTGATTGGAATGTGTCTGCTGTGAACACAGCACTGGACTTCCGGTGAAGCTGCCTGCTCTGCTTCTGACTTCCTTCTTGTCTTTCACAGTCTTTCCTTCTGCTTAGCTGGCATGTAGAATTTATTAGCTTGGATTTTGTTTTAAACTTGTTATAGGAGCCCAGGAAATCTCATCCAAGATTTCCAGAGACCTCAGACCACTGTGGACACTCACATTGCACGTGGGCTGGGGTCTGTCTGCTCCCAGCTTTTAGCTGTCCTCCCATGCATTACTTCCCACGTGCCTCATCACCCAGAAGGCAGATGTTTGTGTTCTAAGTGACAGGGGAGTAAACACAATCACTTCACTCACTTGTCACAGCCACATGTCGGTTTGCTTTGCCTTCATCTATCACATCCATGACCTCCTCGGGGCTTGACACAAACCTCTCGGTGCATCCCTGAAAGAGTCAAAATCAGGTCAGGTTGGCCATTAAAACAGTTGAAAAACAATAGTAATTTAAAGGAGCTAAACATTTGTCCATTTTTTTCTAAAGGTACAGATAACTAGAAAAGCCATGATACTGACCCAACAACTTCTCCTCCCTGCCTAGGGCTTGAATTCTACATTAAGGAAAAATGTGAGCAACCCTAGGAAAGCTAGACATAAACCGTAAAGGAAAAGCTCTTTAACTACATGTGCATATTTATATTCTATAGCAATATTTTCAAGAGGCAGAAATTAAACAAAGAAATGATATGAGAGAAGAAGAAATGAAAAAGCGCTACTTCACCTTCCATCTTTGTAATTTCAGCTTTCAACAAGCACTTTAAAGTTCTAGGCATAGGATTGGAGAGATGGCTCAGCAGTTAAGAGCACTAGCTGCTCTTGCAGAAGACCCAGGTTTGAATCCCAGTACCCACATGGCAGCTAACAACCATTCATAACTCCAGTTCTAGGGACTCCAACACCCTCTTCTGTCCACCACGGGCACTGCGTGACATAGGTGCACTTGCATGCAGGCAATACACTCATACACATAAAATAAAAATGATTAAATCAAAAAAATTTCTAATTCTAGACATAATACTACAATAGACTTCTAGTTACAAAGCATAAACCATCACACTCAATCCCAAAACCTCTTTAAAATGAACAGTATTAAATAATGATTTACATACAGAAAGCTGGGAGTAGCTCATGGCTTAAATGCAAGAGACACTGGGTTAGATCCCCAACAGCAAAAGATAATAAAATAATTTACATACAAGAAAGTTACAATTGAAAAAGCTAAATGCTGATTGTTCTAGCCAGATGAATATTAATATAAGGGGCATGGTGAAATATGCCCTTTATGGATATTATTCTGGGAATCTTACATAATAATTACTTTGACAGTGACTGGAAAGAAGTTAACTGCATTCCAATCAAGTCTTCTTCATACCTTTACATAGGGGACTCTGTTTTTATCTTCATGAACAGCCAAGTTAGTCTTGGATACTGTACAGATGAAAATGATGATATGCAGAGAAGAAAAGAAAAGTTAAAGAACCTGTATTGGAAGAACAGTGATTGTCACAGAAGCATGCAAACCTAATCTTTTTTGCAATTTACAAGTTTAAGCAGTGGATGAACATACAGCCAAAGGCAAAGAGCATCTCTATAAGCTTTCGTAGTTCCTGGAACACAAGCATCCTAAACTCATTTCAAACTCCCTGGGCTTTAGTTACAAAGAAACACAGACAAGCATTTGGCTGAACTTACCATCAAGTAAGTCCCTTATTTTATCCAAGTAGATCTCAAAATAGGAAACCTAGACAAAGACAAATTGAAATTCGAATAGAAATGCCATTCTGTATGTCAAAAACAGCACTATGAAAATGTATGGAAGCTCTTGTCACTACTAAGAAGAGGAAGAAGAGGGGACACCAAGAGAAGGCCAGAGTCCTGAGCACAGAGCTGCAGCTAGCTCCCTTGTACTCATCCTGCTTGGTCAGTGTGCTCTATGCATCTCTGCCAAGCGTGGACCACTCTTCAGCTTCACACTGTGCAGTTCCCCGGTCTCTGTTCAGGTACTGCCTATGTCATATGCTAGGGAGCCTCTTACAGGAGGGCCCAGGTTTTGCCTGAGATGAGCACCAAGCAAATTTCTATGTGATAATAACCACAAAAGCAAACATCTCAGGAAGCAACATTCAAACACAGTGGACCTCATCTCCTTGCATGATACGGCAGCCTCATCAGACCTGTGGGAAGACAGCCTACACATTCACATGAAGGAGGCAAGGGGAGGTTGAGAGTGAGGTGTTTGGAATTACAGGGGCTCAGAAAGATACCTGAGAGAAGGCTGGTGAAAGTGGCCAGGTTTGGAGTCTAGGAAGAATTGGAACAAAATGGGGTTTAATAACAATCAGCCAGGTGCTGGTGGCTCTTATTTATAATCCCAGTATCAGGAGGCTGAGGCAGGAGGATTGCCATAAGAAGTCCAGCCTGGGCTACATGAGTTCCAGGCCAGCCAGAGAGAGTGATTCTCTCTCTCTCTCTCTCTCTCTCTCTCTCTCTCTCTCTCTCTCCCTCTCTCTCCTTATCTCTCTCCTCTCTCACTAAACCCAAAAAAAAAAAAAAAAAAAAAAAAAGAAAGAAAGAAAAAGCAAACAAAGATAACTAGACTATGGAAGGAAAAGGAAGCCTTCTAGATATTTATTCTCAAACTTCAGCTGAGCTCCACTCTACCAGTATCACCCACAGAACCCCAGAGCCCTGAAACCTATTGCAACCCTACTGGATCAGAATATCAGAGATGAGGACCCAGAAATTGGCTTCTAAATCCTCAAGTGACTCTTCTGCAGGCTGAAGTCTATGAATTGCTTGAACCAAATAAGTTCTTAGAAATTAAATGCATACAGAGCCCCAATTTCCCCATCTGTCAAATGAAATCATTAGACTTTTGATGTGAAAATTTTTCTCTAGGATTTTGCCTATTGTCTATATCTGACTTTTGCCACCCAGATAATTTTTTTCTTTTCCCATACTCATAAGTTGTCATTGAAATATAAGTAAGGGAATGGTTGAAAAGGAAAATATAGTCGTGAGCTATATAATGACATTTCGGGCAACAACAGACCATGTACATGGTAGTGTTCCCACATGACATTGTCTAGTGACACTGTAGCTTTCTTAGTTTGTATAAGTTGTCTACAATGCTCATAAAATGATAAAATTATCTAACAAAGCATTTCTCTAATATATCATTAAGCCAGGCATGGTTATGGATGTAGAGTTGTAAAGCTGGGCTTTGCTTACCCAGGTGAAATTTTGTGAGCTGCCTGCTCCTGGAACAATCCTGCCCTCAATTTGGGGAGCAGGAAAAGTCCCGTATTTTGATAACTAATCCTAGCCCAGCTCAGCCCTGGTTCATTACCTCTTTTATGCCTCCATCTTGAACCACCTACTTTTCCAATCCCGGAAGATTTAGGGTCCTGGCTTTGAACTGTAGAATCTGTAGCTAGGCATCTTCTCCTGGTTGCCTGTACCTCTAACAGCACCTGTCCAGCTCCACAGCCCTCCATCTCTCCTGGACTCTACCACTCAAAAGACTCAGTGTTCTCTAATCCCAGTTCTGTTGCCTCTGTTTGTTGGTTCTCATTGTTTTCCCTTGGCCTCACATATGCAAGACAAGTGCTGAGCTATACCTCAAGTCCCTGACTGCTCTCTCTCTCTAATCTCTCATGTTGCCAAACTACCATCTGCCTCAAAGGCCTATTGATCACCAATCCTAGTCATCACTAACCAGGCCCTCCCTGCAGGCAGTCCGATCCTGGTGCCAAGGCATTCTATTATTTTACCATTGTCAGATTGCCATTAAACTTTTCTGCTATCTCTGAGATTTGTAAAAACGTAATCTGTTATTCTTTAATAATTTCATATGTACATGTAATGTATTTTTAGCATACTTATCCCCTAACCTCTTAGATCTTAAACACATGGTTTTACTTCCACAAATTAAAGAGAAAATTAATTACAACTAAAAAGTAGCCATAGCTGGCTGTGGTGGCTCATACCCAGCACTCAGGCAGATCTCTGTAAATAGCCAGTTCCAGTCCAGCTAGGGCTACAGTGAGACCCTGTCTCAAAAAAATAGTTATGAACTATTTTACTGCCAAACTTGACAACTAAAATCCTGTTCACTATATTTGATAAAGCTTCACCCTCATTAGTAATAACTAAATACAATGAAAGAAGTGCTCTTCTTTGAAAATAGCAGGGCTTTTCAAAAATAAAGCTGTCCTGATTAGCATCAAATGCCAACTTGAAGGGATTGCCCAGATCAGTTTGGGCTGTGAGCAGGTCTGTAAGGGATTGTCTTAATTATTAATTGATGAAGGAGGGGCTGGCCCACTATGGGTGATGCTATTCCCTAGGAAGGTAGTCCTGGTCTATATAAGAAAGCTAGCTAAGCACGAGTCTGCAAATAAGCCAGCCAGCAGCACTCCTCCATGGTTTCTGTGCCAAGTTCCTGCACTGACTTCCCTCAATGATGGACTTTAACTTGTACACTGAAATAAACCTTTTCCTCCTCTAAAAACATTCTGTCCATACTTAATGCAAATAAGACGAGAATACTGATTTATTGATTTCTGCTTTTATGAGGTATCAAAATTCATCTGTCATTTCAAATACTTTGTGAGACTAGACAGAGGAAAACAGATAGATACTGTTTGGCATTGAGCAATAACATGTTCAGAAATAATGTTTAAGACCTCTGTGGGCTGCATTGGAGGGAGCAGATTTTCAATACTGCCTTAATCTTCCCTTTTTCTTTTGCTTTAGCCTGTTACTCCACAATGAAATAGAGTGCAGTCAGCAGCTAACTTGTCCACTAATTAACTTGTCCACTAAATCATTATTTATAGAAAAAGCAAGCATAACTGCAAATGCTACATAGGAACCTAAATTTTCAGATTTAACTCTAGAGACTTAGAAAGTATTGTTCCTCTCCTCCCCCATGTCATGCCAGGGCTGTTTTTAATCTTAATAAGATTCTAACACAAGACACTATTTTCAGGGCAGTAATTGGTTTAACATCTTATTTCGGGATTATCACATAAGAACTCTGCAGCAGTTTTAAGTATGTAAATGAAAACAGCCTTAAAGAAGCACTAAGCTTCTAAATCCTGATCCCATCAAAGCAACAAGCTTCTGTATCCTTAGACATAAAGAGGCCTGGCAGCAAGGAGAAGCAAGCCTTCACCAACAAAGGGATTGAAACGCGAATTTCTGCCTGCAGTTCATAGTTGGGCAAACAGCTATGGCTTCCATGGCTTCTTTTTTATGCAGTTTAGGAATGGTACACTGTAGAAATAAGTAAGGAATAGTTATTTTGTTGTTGTTGTTTTTTGGTGGTTTTTTTTTTTCTTTTTTTTCTTTTTTTTCTTTTTTTTTTTTTTTTGTCCTTTTGAGACAGGGTCGCCTTGTAGCTCCAACTGGAGCTCATTATGTAGACCAGGCTGGCCTTGGACTCACAGAGATCCACCTGCCTCTGCCTCTGCCTCTGCCTCTGTCGGGATTAAAGGCATGCACTACCATGCCTGGCAAAATTTTTTATTATTATAGTTATTTGTTGTTTTGTGTGTAGGGGAGGAGGGGGAAAAGGGCATGTGCCATGGTGATATGTGGAGGTCAGAGGACAACTTGTGGGAGTTGATTCTCTCCTTCTACCATGTGGGTTCAGATGGTCAAACTTAGATTATCAGGCTTGGCAGCAAATGCCTTTACCCACTGAGAGTCATCTCATCAGCCCAGGGAGAAGTTTAATACAATGGGAAAGGTACTAAATGTCAGTTTGGTCCAATCTAGGTTTTGTTCATAACTTGGGCCATCTAACCCTGTGTCTGACCTTCAGCTTTCCTGTTTCTGACCCTCTGGGTCCTAAGGCCCCAGCCTTCAGGAACTTTCTCAGCAGATCTCAGCTCTGGGGCTTCTTGGAGTAGTCTCTCTCCTTCCTGTTCTGTCAACTGCTCTAGTCACAAAGTTGAGGACCAGGACACTGTGCATCTGAAAAGAGAGCAGAGCCAGAATGTGCTCTAGGCTGGCTAGTCAGCCCCTTCCCAGGGGGATGTGGGATTGGAAAAGGAAACGTGGAACAAGAGCTGCTGCATTGCCCAAGATCCTTCCCACAAAACCAGGGAAAGGTGGTTCAGAATAAGAGGCAGAGGCAAAATGAGAGGGTAAAGAATAGGAACTATACTAGGTGTGGAGATTCTTTGGGGAGTAATGAAAATATTCTAGATTTACATAAGAATAATGACTGTACAATTCTGGAAATATACTAAACCTCACAGAATTGTACATTTTTAATGTATTAATTTTATGGTATATAAGTTATATCTCAATTTTTTAAGCTAAAAAAAGAAAGCAGAGCTGGGATTGCCTGATCTCCATAGTCTGTCTAATATTCTCTAGCATATGGCAAGTCACTTGCTTTTAAACAAGTGGCCTTCAGGAATTTACAAAGAAGTTCAAATTTTATGATTTTAATAGCTATATAATAGAGAAGAAATCTTTTTAATTAAAATTTTGGTTAAAACAGAACAAAAAGGAGGAAAAATGCAGGAGAATTTCCTTCCACAATACTCCTCAGAGTATGTTCCTTAAAACACTAGCCTGTTGTACCCCAAAGGAGGATAAATGTGTCACTAAACAGGGAAGTAGAGTATGGCATATGTTCCCTTTGCAGAGTCACATTACTCAAGAGAGCATTTAAACTTATGATAAACGTAGCATTGGTCAACAAAGTTTATTTGGCCATATAACCCTTTTCTCTGGTAGCCTCCGTATAATATAAGGGATTGTGTTCCATGGAACACATTTTGGGACTGCGGTCCTAACTCACATACACACAGACATATTCCTGGCCTTCTACAGAATGCATAGGGGAAAGGAGAGAATTCAAGGGACAATTCCTAAAGGAAGCTTGTATTTCCCTTATGTTGTTATTTCAAGCAAACCATTCCAATAGCTTGGTACTGGCCTACATCATTAAACAATAGGGTCTGCTTCCCACAGAATGACACTTGAATTATTTTAAGAAAACATCGCTTACATCTATTTAAAAAGAAGAATACTGAGAAACATGACTTAGGGCCTAGTATCCTCTCTTAGCACTTAGTAACAGCACTTACCTTGATGTGAAACTCCAGATTTTCATCCATGGAATAAATGTGGTCAAAAATGTCATGTGCAATTCTCGGTATGATCCCCATGAGTTGAGGGTCATGCAACTTCCCCTATGGGTGAAAAATACACAGTCAAAGCAGTCAAGAGTGCTGGATCATGTGTTGCTTGGGTCCTATACAGCATACAGAGGTTTCTAGCAATGACTGATGGGTAGGGTTAAAAATGGTTATTAGTCCTGGCTCAAGACTGCACTTCATAAACAAAACCGCACAGAACAGGGAGCAACCGCAAGTGGGCTGTTGGCTCCCTTGGGGATCTATCTGCCGCCTGGAGGAACAACTCAACGTATTCCCCTTGATACCCAGCAGAGGGCTGTCCTGTCAAGTGCTGGGGCCCCACAGTATCCCTTCCCACAGTAAATCACTGTGCGCACGTGGGCAATGAAAGGATGAAGAGGAGGAAGGGCAGAAAAGAGAATGAGCAGGTATGGGTTTTATTTGTGAATATTTGCAAATTGCCCAGAAGCTCCAAGTCCATGTAAGGTAACCACAGAGAGACTTTTTTTTTTTAAGTACAAATTATTATTTTATTTTTTTCAAGAGAATGGCTGTGTGATTAAAAACAAAAACAAAACCCTGGGTTCTGGTCACAGGATTAGTCCATATACACCTTCAGTGTCCTGTGGTGACCTTGTTCTTCTCCATGGTGTGGATAATGACACCCATGCCTGATACCGCACTCAGTTCACAGCATTCAGCATGGCTTGGGAGGTGGTTTTAACTAGTGAGCATCTCTCCAGCACCCCCTTGGAAGGTGGTTTTACACAGGTGTTCTGGATCCATGTTGGGGTCCCAGATAGGCTCCCAAATCCCATACATGTGTTCAGAACACATGCAACTAACTACAAAGTCATCAGTCACCATAGCACAGCCAATGAGGTCCAGAGGGAACATGAAGGGCTTAAAGGTCTTCAGGTTCAACCTAGCAATAACTAGCTCTGTGCAGTAGGGGCCAAACCATTTCTTATATAAGAGGCTGGCCACCATGTTCATGAGGCTTCATCTGCTGTCCTGCAACTCATACAAGTTCAGCCATAGTTTGAAGTGCTGGGCAGCTGTCTGGATGTTGGAAGCAAGCCTGGCCAGGATGATATATAGCTAGTCACCCATGGAAAGGATCTCCTGGAAGTCCACGGTCACCATCTGAGCCTGGACCCTGAAGCACCTGTTTGCAACAATGGCCACGCAGTTCTTGCCCCATCCACAGCCTGATGGCCCCTCTGTTACAGAATTTAATAGATTAGGATCGTGAGTGCTGCTGCAATTCCAGTAAACTCGCTCTGGCTTTCTCAAAATTTGATTTAAAAAAAAAATTCCATCAAAAATACTATCCACTTTTGTCTTCTTAAAACAACATTAGAATGAAGGCAAGTGGAACACATTTAAAGACTATCCAGGTTTCTCCTGAAAATCTGGAACCCTTCTCTGCTCCAGTTTCACTCCCGATGTGCATGTCCTATGTTACCCTGCAGTTAAGGTATGAACCTAGTCTGTGTGACAGGAGAACCGAGGCATATAATGATATAGTAACATTACAATAGCTCCTTCCAAGGAACATCTGGTGTCATAGTTAACTTCAGCTGTCAACCTGACACAAGCCTACACACACCTAGGAAGAGTGAACCTCAACTGAGGAACTTCATCAGATTGGCCTGTAGGCATATCTGAATCATAGTATCATTAAAGTCACCATTGCTCAAAAAGTTCTAAAATCCTTCTTCATCTTCAGGATCATTTTGCAGACCAATCAAGAAAGTCTATTTCACCAATTTATTTCTAAAATCTGTAACTTCCAGCTTGAATTGTTCCAAATAACTGTTAATTCCTCTTAATACCTAAATCTATCTTAAGGATATTCCTTTTCCCCTTTTGCCACTTTTATTCACTGTACTTAACAAGTAAAGGGAAAAATTCATCCTTTGTAAATTACTAAATACACTTTCAATGCCCAGAATTTATTTGCCACCTCTGAAGACACTCAAGAGTCAATCCATAAGGGTTGAGGATGTAGCTCAGTGGTAGAATGCTTGCCTCGCATATGAGAAGCCCTGAGTTCCCTCCCTAATAAACAGAGGAGGGGTAGAGGAAGAGAGGATATTCTGTAATTCCTACTGAAAGGATCTTGAAGTATTTAAAGCCACGGCCTTAGTGTGGCCATAATACAGAACTCCACAGAATCTTCTCTTAAGTCCACAGTAAAATGAATATTCAAGTCCTCTTCCATGTGTTAAACAACAATTCTGTCCATGAATATGGTCTGTAGGTCTATGTGATTATATACCCAGAGGACTTTCCAGACCTTTAAAAGTTATAAACCTCTAGGAATAAATGGAACTGGAAGAAAAGTACAAAATCCCATTTTCTCCTCAGTTTTCTAGGGATGCCCAACAACCTTCACAATTTTGGCCCACAAACCTGGTCCAAATCTGCCTACTGCTGATTTGGTTTTCCTCAGTTAATTCTACTTGTCCTTAAGGTCCTCACCACACAGTACCTCATTGAAAGGGACTTCCAAGTAAACATTTGAATTAGCAAAAGCAAGAGCCCACATGATCATAGGTGCTTAAGACATACCACCAAACACTTGGCATCACAACTTCTCCTTGGCACACCTGCTTCCTGACTTTCAACTCTATTAAAAGCAACAGAAGAGCAGAATTCAGATATGCCTGGCCTCTGGTTACTCTCTTACCTGGGGAAATGGCTATTCTTCTGGCATGTCTTCATCTATTAAATGCAATAAAATGATATATTTACATAATTTTTAGTTTTGTTCCATATACCATAAAAAGAGCATTGGCCCTAATGCTTAGCAGACTTAGCACAGTACTTACTGCATATGATTAGTACAGAGTTTAAAATGGGTAGGACACAAAGTGCTGACTGACAGCGTAAGGGCTCAATGATGTTAGCCCTAACAGGTTCTCACTAAGCAGTATTGGGACTTATTTGACCAGAGGAATCAGAAAACAATGTTCTATTCCAGAGCATCACTATATGTTGTATCTTAGGAAAACAGCACCAAACAACAAAGACAGGGAGTCTCAAATCTAGTGACATGTAAGTCACACAGCCATCATAAACACAAACAAAACCAACTGTGGCCACATGCTCTGTACTATATAGGCTGTTGGCAGAAACAATTCCTATGATAAAAATAAAGATTAGATTTTCTTCCAGTTAAATGTCACCACTCCATGTACCTGGTCAAAAGACTTCCCTATCCAAACCTCCAGAGTTCTTGAATAACCCATGATAACCCTCTAGCTTCTTCTCAGTGGTCCACAGCCAGAGACGAATGACTGGTAGCCTAAAAATAATTTATAACGGATTCAAATGTATTTCCCTGGATGGTTCTTCCAACAGATTCATCTTTTATTGATTCCTGACTTAAAAATGAGCCTGCGAAAACAACCCGGGGCAGGGAGTATGTGTGTATGGTATTAAATGGAATATGCATGTGGTGTGGTGAATGTACATGCACATGTGGAGTATACATGTGGGGTGATGTATGTGGGAATGTGCCTGCTGTGCGGCAGTGTAAAGAGGTATATGTATAAGTCTGTAGATATAATGTATATGTATATAGTAAATGTATGTGGGTGTCTGTATGTGGCTTATGTCTCTGTGTGTGATATATATAGGATGTGTGTATGCTGTGTGTATGTACAGGTGGAGTACTCCTGCATAAGTGTGTCTGTGTGTATGAGAGATGTGTATGATATATGTAGAATGCCTGTGTATGATATATATATGGAATGTATATCTATGATATATATTGACTATAAAGTGCCTGATTGTGGGGTCACTCCCTCTCCTCGTGGGTCGTTGGCCACCGCTCCACAAGGACAAAGGGAGCAGAAATGACGAACAGGGTCAGGATGGCCAGTGAGCACTGATGGAAGAAAACCCTTCTGGGGAGGCATGTTCAATGATGCAAACAGCTCCGGACTCAGTGAAACAGCTCCGTTTATTCAGTGGGGTTAGGGAAAATACAGTGTGGAGGCAGTAGCCAATGCCTCATCTGATAGGTGCTCATAGTATGCTTTATTTACATGTGGCAGTAGGCTCCTATCATCTGACTACAGGGCAATGCCTGGTTATCATATAGAAAAAACCTGGGGGTAGTTTTTACTCCAGGTAACTATGCCAAAGGTCATGGTCCAAATAAGGTGAGGTATCCGTGCTTGGCGGCACTTTCCAGGTAAGTCGGGAAGAGAGCAGGAGGCCCCCTGCTGAGAAGGGGAGTCCTTCCATTTGGTGCCGAGCCCCTTAGAGCTATCCAGACATGGAGGACTACAACCCTAGCAGCAGGGTTCCCTAACACCTGATATACAGAATGTATATCTATGATATATATTGACATATAAAGTGCCTGTGGATGCCTGTGTAAAGATGTTCACTGCATCTATGCTGACTGCTTGCAGATGAAGCATATATGCACAGTCACACAATGTGGTCACCAGGCTATGAACAGAGGTGAACAAGCTGCAGAAATTTAGTGAACACAAGGCCCTTCCAGCTGAGGTAGTAGAGATGGATTCTTAGGGAGCCCACAGATTATGAGGGATAAGTGAGATTAAGGATGGGCAGAGGCTATGGGCAGAGGAGGTGAGCTAACAACTACAAAATAGAAAATAGGAACAAGCATTCCCCATCAGAGACCAGGAAGTGTCATCCAGCTGGAGGATCAAGGATGCACAGGAACTGTGTCATCTATTGTTCCTTCCAGGGAGCAAACAGGACAAACATTTTATAACTGAATCCTGTACAACTGTCTTCAGAAACTTTTCTCACTGAATGTGACCTTCCAGGAGTAGGTACAGAAGGAAAAACAAGACACAGTCCACTGTCCACTGGACAAGACTCTCTTCATTCTAGCACCCTTGGCCTCCTCTATCTCTCAAGCAGGACAGTTTCCTCAGACACCCAAGATGGGAAAGCAGAGACCATCAGCATGCAAGCACTATGCACTCTGATTTTGTTTAGAACAGTTGGCAGGTTTACAAGACGGCTGGGAAGATTACACAACTCAAGTGGCCTCCAGGTGTCCCTCTGAACAGAACTATCGCCAGCCATCTCTCAGTGTGCTGAAGGGGGCAGTTAAAAGACACCCTTTCCAAGCACCACACTAAACAACAGGACAGGTCTCTCCTTCTTCTTGCTGCAGCCAGCACCCCAGGATCCTCTCCAGCAATCTGAGCATATTCCTGACAAGTCCACAACTCTTGCATGATTGTGCCTACCATTCTCAGGACCAACACTGTCCAGTGAGTCCTATTTTCCCTGAAAATCCACCTTAAACGCTCCATCATGAGAAGCTAATCTTTCCAATTTTATAAAGGCTTAGGTGTTTGTTCTCTTCAATAGATGATAATGGCAGCACGAGTGGATGCCAGACCCAAAATAGGAGGCTTAAAATGAAAACCTCTTTAAAATGTGACTGTCCACTCAAGGAGCTAACATCTCCTTCTGAATGCCTTTGAAAGACCATGGTGTGTAATTCTGAATATATAAAAGTCCTCCTTTTAGAGGATGCAGACCCTGCAGAACATGTTTTACTTAATTGCATTCCAGGGTCCTGGATTTCTGTCTCCTTTAGTTGGTGACTTCAGCTTGTGGCTCTTCCTTTCCTCTTTCCTCTTAACAGATCCTCTACCTTTTTCTAATCTATGATAACCATACAAAAGAACAGGATTCAACAGGGGCTGGGTGGCAGAAGGAAAAGATTCCTCCCCATCGACTCCTTCCGACCACTTACAGAAGTCACAATAAAGAAAAACAACTTGTGACAACTGACAAAGATGTAGGGATGATACAACTTGATCTGTACAGGTGAGACTTGTACAGAGTCCAGTTCCCTTCAGATCCTCCAGGAGCATCCTCTTGGCAGGTGAATTGCATTTTTCATTGTGAAACACCAAGGGCTCAATGGCCTCTCATTTTACAAAGCGTCTCCCATACTAGCATTAAAGTGCTGCTCCCTTCTTCCCCATCGCCCTATGCCCATCTTACCCCAAACAAGAGATTCCTCTGTAGAGCAGTCTCTTGTAATGTCTTATACCATAAGTTTCTGACAGTTAGAAAATACTTTAAATTTTTAATGACTTAATCCCAAAGTTTAGTGATTCATTCTTATAAGAATTCCCTAAATAGGAGCTGGAGAAATGGCCTCAAAGTTAAGAGCACTGGTTGCTCTTGCGGAGGACCCAGGTTCAGTTCCCAGCACTCACACGGTGGCTCCTTAACTCCAGTTCAAGGGGATTCAATGTCCTCTTCTGGCCTCCATGGGAATTGCATACATATGGTGTACTTACCATACATGCAGGCAAAATACTTATACAAATAAAATTAAATAATTTTTTAAAAATAATTCCCTGTTAGTTTGGAGATTTAAAACAGGAAGGATTCTTTTTCTATTATGTTACATATACCTTAATAATTGTCCAAAAACCTAAAACCTGATGGATTCCCTCCTGACAAACCACATCTTTCCTTCTCTCCTTCTGTACTGCCCTCTTCAGAAAAGGTAGGACTGGGGAAGTACACATCTACAACTTTCCTAGTGCCTTCAAGGTCAAGGGACCAGGGTCCAGTAATGGAACAAGGCAAGGAGCCAAAGTGGAGCAGAGAGACACTGGGGCCAGGATTTCTGGAATGTACTGTCAGGGGTGTGAGGTGTGGAGACAATTGGCTGCTGTAGCTCTGATGCTGGGCAACAGTCCTGCTAGAGAAGAGGTGACAAATAAGCCTCTTGTTTCTTCAGTTTGTAGTCTCCAATTCACTTTTTCTTCAATAAAATGAGCGATAGAAAATCAGCAGCACAGAAATGAGATCCCCCCAAATATCCCACCCCACACTCAAATCAGTGTGCAGAACATCAGAGCCCTGAAGACTTTAGCCTCATGCCTTTGAAATCTCCTCTTCAATAGGAATGATTCATGAGCTAAACCTATTCTGCAGCAGCTTTTCCCAGGAGGAATCCATAAATGAAAAAACCCTAGCTTGAAGGATTAAGGATTCATCTTACCCTGCTGCTTGTAAGCTGAATTCTCCAAATTTGCTTTGTGCTGTTTCTTACAATAACCACTCTCTCTTTTCTTCACCTATCAGGTGGGCCTAGACTTAAGGAGAATTATCTAGCCCTGAAGGCCTTACAGGAGTCTCTGGTAAAAGCTGGGAAAGAAGGCAGTAAAGGGTCCTTGTTTGGAAAACAGCCTAAAGCCACTGAGCTCCAAAGCCATCAGGATGAACTGCGGTCACCCCTCAGGGCTTACAGAGGCCTGGTGCGTATACAAGGAGGAGAGCTTCTAATACCAGTTCGTATTCACTCTGGTTGTGTGCAGCATGCACTGGGGCCCACTGGAAAATCCAGCCCCATGAGGCTGGGTACTCAGAGCCATCACACTGGTACTGTTTTAATGAAACTTTATGGGATGTCTTCTCAATGACAGCCACTGTTAATAAATGCTAACAAAAAGAAGAACAAGGGCTAAGGATGTAGCTTGGTTGCCAAACATTTGCCTAGCATGTATGAAGCCCTGGGTTCAAGCCTAAGCAATGAAAATAAAGAAAAAGAAAAAAAAACCCCACAAAGATCAACAAGACTAAGGAATCTTGCCACATGCTGAAATTCACCAAGTATTGCCAAATCTTTGGTGTTCAATGTAAGAACATGGAAAAACCGTAACTGTCTGCAATTAAAAAATATATATATATCATTCAAACAAAAGTATTTCTGTAGGGTAAAATTGGTTTAAAAGCCAACTTCTTTAAATCTCTGACCTACAAGTATTTTATTTATTATTATTCTAATGAGACTCATCTCTCCAGAGGTCCTCCCCAGAGCAAATGCTAATGCTTTTACAACAGGCCCAGTCAGTTAGGATGGACCACAGTCCCCAAGGCTACTCACACCAATGATCACTTATTGACAATAATGATGTTGATAATAGTGGTGTTGATGGTGGTGGTGTTCAAATGGTGATGGTAGTGGTGGTAATAGTGGTATTTATGGTAGTTGGTGATGCTGGTAGTGATAGTGTTATGAGGACTATCCAGATTCAAAAAGTTCCGAATCAGCTGCATTAAGCTTTTACAATTTTATTAGAATTTTAAAGAAAAATCCTCAGAGCAGTCAAGCCAGGAATCTTAGCAGCTGCGTTGAGGAGGAGAATGGAGGGGACAAGGCGTGGAGGTCAGACATGTGGCTGGTTGGCAGCCACATGGCTGGGAGAAGGAAGCTTTAGGGAAAGTAATGAAATACAAGATGCTAGGGGCAGCCCAAAGCCTTAAAGAAAGCATGTTTAGAAAAGGGACATGAAGAAGAAAAGGAGAGATTATGCTTCCCTGAATCAGGGAAGTGGACAAATTCACAGACTATATGGCTGTAGCTAGTCCGGAAGTTCTGCACCAGTAGGCGGGATTCCAGGCAGGAAAACTCGCCATCTCATTAACACACTAGGTATTCTGCCCATCTATTTAGCATAACCTGTCTTCCTATGGGTGGCACTATGACCAGATGATTGACCAGTTAAACAAAAATGGAGGGGCTCAGGGCATTACAATGGTGGTGCTTATTTGTGGTACTGTTTACAGCAGTGATGGTGGCAGTGGTGTTGATGTGTTTAATGGTGGTGGTGGTAGTGGTAGTGGTGATGATGGGGGGGACTAGGGATTTAATCTAGGGTCTCATGAAGGTAGGCAAGCTTCTCTGCCACTGAGCCATACCCCCAGGTCTATCTATTTCTGAATAAAATTGGACAGAGAGATCAAGAACAAATGTTTCAATACTAAATTCTTGGGATTTAACTACTCAGTGCTGGTTGCCTTTGTTGGGTTTTTTTTTGGGGGGGTGTTGTTTTTTGTCTTTTTGAGACAATGTCTCCCTGTAGCCACAGCTGGTCTGGAACTCACTACATAGATCAGTCTGGCCTTCATCTCTCAGAGATCCATCTGCCTCTGCCTCCCAAGTGCTGGGATTAAAGGCATGCACCACCACACCAGTCCCAGCCATCTCAGAGACTGGTGCCACAAGCTTACCTCCATGGTGTGGGTTTTTCCTGATGAAGTCTGTCCATATGCAAAAATTGTCCCATTATAACCCTCAAGGACATCTGCAAGCAAACAAATAATAATAAATAAAATTAAGTCATTACACTGATCCCACACTGATACTGACTGCATATTTAAAGTTTCCAAATGGCTCCTCTCATTTTCACATAAACGATACATGCCAACTTCACATATTTTTTAAGTAGGATTGTGAGATAAGAACAGAAATGAAGAAGTCCACTGTTCCACAAATAGACAGAAAGGGACTCACATTTCTCCCGACTGCATTACTGAAGGAAGCAGAGACATTTCTATCAGGTTACCTTAGCTTCTTTATATGTTGGTCTCTTGATATCAATGAGGAAGAAAAACAACCAGGCTTTCGGTTTCTGGAGGTTAGACTCGAACACCTTTCGTGTTTGGTCCAGGTCAGCTTAGACCTGGATCCTTGGGGCCCTTTTTCAGGGAGGCCTAACCAGAGCCTGGTCAGAGGAAACCAGAGCAAGGAGAGGGATAGGCCCCACACTGTAAACTGAGCCCCAGGGACAATCCAATCAGCCCAGAAAACAGCGGGCCAGCTTAAATTTTATGCCTCTGTTTTTTTCAGTGCCTTGCTAGCAAGATGGCCGGTTGAGGCCCATCAGCATCAGGAATTTCTTTTAATTACACAGTGAGCACACTGTGAAAACCCACAAGCACGGCAGGCTGCCTTCCGTTTCACACAGGGATGAGAGGAGGCAAGAGGATGGATGGAGGCTGCTTTATGTTGCAGAGCTGAAGATCAGCTGTAAGAATTCTTTAGAAGCAGCAGAGGTGATTAAAACATATTCCCTCCTGCCTTCTCCTCATCCATACAACCATCACTGAAATGGAAACAATGCATAATTAATATACTTGACTCGCCATTCTGCACCAAGGGAGCAAGTCTTCAAGCAGTGGATGGTGAAGGCAGGGAGAAGCGTCCTACATGTGACATCCTCTCTTGGGCCATGTGAGCAAAGCATGCCAGGCAATCAATTCCATTCATCTATTTCAGCTGGAGGGGCCCCCTTCTGAATCTTGTGATCTTGGTTTTTGTTTTGCTTGCTAGGTTTTTGAAAAAAATCATATATTTTACTAATCTGAGATTGTTAAGAATATGACAGGAACAGAAAAGAAAGGAATTTCCTTTAGGAAAGAAAAAAATAAATGTAGGATTTTTAAAAATCCTAGCAGCCCTTAGGAGTTTGCATCAAGCTACACTGAAAGAGAGACATAGAAACTGTTCACACATATCAGCTTTCTGGAAATGGTTTTTGGAAGTGGTTTCCCTAGTAACAGCAGAAAGCAAAAACCTGAAGAAGCCAGTGTTAGGGTTAGAGGTTCAATAGTTCAGAGAAAAGATTCCTTAGGGCTGAAGACAGTGGCCAGGGTAATGTGCCACTACACTACCAAGATGATGTGCTCTGAGGGACCCAGAGAAAGAGATCCCATCCTCCGATGGCACTTTTAAAATTCTATATTCATAACACAAACAAGTGCAGGCAACTGGAGTGCCAACCACTGTACAATAGTAAACCTTTTATTTTTAGAAATTAAACATCTGTTCCCAAACAAGAAGGCCTTCCTTATCTTAGCCCCTGTGTATGAAGGGCTCTGTATCCATGCAGCCTGGTGCCAAGCCGTTCTAGCTCTGGTCCAGCTCCTTTCCTTTCTAGCAGTGTGGCAGCCTGATTGCTAATGGCCACCCTGTGAGTAATTACATGCAGTGGCTCGGAGATGGCTCTGAGCAACCTACAGTCTAAGCCCAGCCCACACCTTTTCCCTGCCAGAAAGGAGGCTAGAGTCTGAATGAGGTCTCTGGACTACTCTCACCAAGTATAACGCACAGTCTTACCAATTAGATGGCTTCTAGCCCCCAAACCCCTGTGGTTATGGACTGAGTCACAGCTACGAGAAGGACCATGCCAAGTTCGGATGTAGTTCAGTTGGTGCAGTGCTTCTCTAGCAGGTGCAAAGCCCTGGATTCAGTCGCCAGCACCACATAAATCAGGAGTGATAGCACATGCTAGTAATAATCCCAGCTCTGATAAAACAAAGGAAGAAGGATCAGAAGTTCATTCAAGGTCACCCTTAGCTACATAGTGAACTTGAGGCTGCTCTGAGATACATGAGACCTCATTTCAAAATAAAATTAAAAGCCAAGCATGGTGGCACATGCCTTTAATCCCAGTACTTGGGAAGCAGAGGCAGGTGAATCTCTGTGAGTTCAAAGCCAGCCTGGTGAGCTCTAGGCCAGCTGAGGCTACAGGGAGACCCTGTCTCAAAAAGACCAAAATAAATAAATTAACTAATTAAATTAAATTTTTTAAAAAATAGAACCATACCTGAGTGACATTGCTTATTTTGGACTGAGGTATTGAGGAGCAAGTGAGAATGCACTCTGAGAATCCATCAGTGGAAGGTTGTTAGGGGCACACTGTATTGGGGTTTCATGGAACCCACTTCCCTCTGTATCATAGCTATCCTTGTGTAGAACTGCCCACAAGTGTGAGAAGGGCACAGCCTGTGGCTGCCATTGTTTGAATATGCAATACTGGTGAATTACTGTCTGCATGCATAATCCAGCATTAAACTTTTTTAAAATATAAGTTGTAGAAATTGGCATATGTATGTTTTAGGAATCAAGTTTAAAAGGAGGCATTTCTGAAATACATTTATTAGTATATTAATAGCTTATTAGGAAGTTAAAACATATTTTCCTATTTAACATTACAAGTGATGGTTGGATTCCCAGAGTCATTCCCTGCCCTACACCAACTACTATGTCAACATTAAGCACAATTCCCTTCTGATTTTTTAAATAGAGAACATATAAAACCTCATTAAAGCAAGTTCTGATTGGCCTAAATATATTTAGAGTAATCTTACAATGAACACATCGTTGAAGAATATCTCCCATGATCGAAGCTGAATGCAGCTGATGTTCTCCTCTATCAACCCAATGCTGAAGTAGAAGGTAATTTTAAAAGAAAGCTTTTTGAACCTAGGGTTGTTTATTTTCTTCCAGCTCTAGCTTTGAGAGGACCTGTTGGCTTGTTCAGTCTGTTTTAGGTTTAGTGGAAGGGACAGGCAAAGTGAAGCATGGACGAACAGAGCAGTTCTGGGGTTAGAAAAGGACAGAAAGAGGCACCAGCACTAACTCCACTGGGGGAAGGTTCAAGAACTGGCCTGTGGAGAACCACACACCACCTTCTGGGCCACAGAAAGGGACTTTCACACAGTGGATGGCAGGCAGTTCCTGGGCCTGAGAAACACATTTGTTTTAGTCTGTCAAGGAGAGTGGCCATTTCCACACACTGGCCACACTCTGCCAGACAGAACCTTTCTTTGTGATGAGATCTGGCAAGATGTGATCTCAACTCACACCAATCCAGCCTCTACACCTCACAGATCAGCACGTGTCCATCCAGCAGCCAGGCAGACACAGGAGCTTCCACTGAGGGTCCCAGTTGCCTTCTCATCTCCCAAGAGAGCAGAGGAGAGGACAGGATACTCAGAAAGATTGGCTGGCGCTGGCTGCAGAGTTCAGAAGCCTAGGCATACATCTTGGGTTCTGCTCCCGTCTGAATTCAGGTATGGCAGGAGCAGAAGTGAGTTTTTTGTTAGGTAAGACTCTAGGGAAGATTCATCACACCTACCCATCTGTGTCCAAGGAAGTTGTCTAGCCCACTCCACCCTGCCAAGAGGAATGGTGGCCTCTCAGGGACAGTAAGGTTTCTGACAGCAGTAGCTCATGGTCTCTCCATTTGAAATCTTAAGGCTCTTGTCAGCCAACTGAACCGCTAAAGCTGGCCATAACTGCAGAATGAAGGATGCAGGCTGTATACACCAGTGGTCACAGAGAATGTGGGGCCAGGTGCACCTAAATGATATCAAGACCGAGCAAAACACACTGTTTCAGGATAGAAGCACACCAGATCCTGCCATACAGGGCTCTGGGACCACAGTGGCTATTCTCATTCTTCTACTCTCCTCACACATGCATTCCATCATCTTTCATGTAACTAACAGAGCCTCACAGAAATGGAACAACTCATAAAATAATTATATAATGATATTTGTTTAAATGCTCACTATGAACCCATCAGAAAAGCAAAAGCAGGACAGTTCAGAACATGTCAGTCAGATAAACCAAGTCACAAGGGCCGGCCCCCACTCGCCCTTCCAGACTTGGCCAAACTGCTTCATTCTCTGAGCACCAAATTCCTTTAGTGTGATGGGAATCATAATGTTCACACCTCATGAAATCAAGAGTTAAGATGCAACTTGTAAAGTGCATTCAAGTGTACATGATAAATAGCTAAATATAATTCCTTGTACAAATCACACAGAATAATGAAATAGATCTGAGTATATCCTCCTAGGCTTAAAGCTTTCCAATCTGCCCACACTGCCTACAGGATAAAGTCCATCATTTCCACCAGACAGATCCAGACCAACTTTTGCAGCCTCATCTACCATCACGCAGTCAATACCTTCTACCGCTCACTCCTAACTGCGTGGGTGGCATGCCACATCATTTGTGTCTTTAAGTTCTTTCTGGCCCTTTGTTGCTACAGCTCTGCTATATTCTAGAGTCCTCAGGAACCAACCTTTCCAAGAAGCCTTCCTTAATTCTCCACTCCCTCTCCCCACCCATCAAAACCAGGGCAAAGTGGCACTCCTCTGTGCTCTTGGGGCATTTTGCACACACCCGTCTTAAACTATACAATGTCTATGTGCATAATAATAGCATGTGTTTCTCCCTTTCTTTATACTCAAAACTCCTAGCAGACAGTCTTGACTCCAGTGCCTGGTGGTGCTTATCACATAGTAAGTGCCTAATACAACATGTATAAATAAATAATAGGTTTAAAGAAATCAGAACTTGGAAACAGGAAACCAGTCCACATCTAGTTCATTTGGAAGGCAAATGCCCAGAGCAGATTCTGCTGGCTGGGATATGGTTACCAGGACTTGAACAACAGTATCTAGTAACCATGGTGTTTAATGCAGAGACACTCACAGGAACCTTATTTATTGTGCTGATAGCCACAAACCCTACAACCTCTTCCCACAGAAATGGTGATAATCACACCAAAGATGGAAGCATGGGAAATGCCAGGACTCTGAAATCTGAAGTAGACCCTCAGTCTCATTAAGACTTTAGATAGACCAGGAAGGAAACTCACCAGCCCATGACAGGATAATGAATCAGGAGATTATGGTAACCTTCAGAATTGTGTGATTCACGCCTTAGCACCCAGAAAAAAATACCCACTTTACCCCTCCCAGTCTTAACTTAGGCAGGGCTCTAAAAATAAGAGATAACTCAGCTATGTTCCGTAATATACTCCAAGAAGTTCTTGTTTATATACGTGTGTCTTGCCTTGTTGACGTAGAAAAGAAGGGCACTTCCCCTCACAGTAGCCTCAGAGGTTACTTTAAAAAGTTCAATCAGGTATCTGTAGAGCCCAGGAAGCTAGAAAGAGCCTATGAGAAGAAGAGGGGATAGTGAAACATGTATGATATGAAGGTAGAGGGTGTAGGAGGAAGTGCGGCCTGAGCAACCAGTGCATGCATGCTGCGAATGCGCCAGAAACATCCGGCTGAGGCAAACCTGTGTTCTGCCAAAAGACATAGAGACGGCTGATGTGAAAATGGCCCGATATAGAGAGCCAATGAGGAACAGACACAACCTATCAATGGACCAGTGGGACACCGGGAGGGGGATATAAGGGAGACCCATATCCGCAATAAACGAGTCTGCAGCTGCTTGCACTGCCTGCTTCTCACCTGACTCCCAGAGTCTGTGTCGTGACTCTGTGCCGACTCCAGCCCCGCCCGGAGGGCCCCAGGACACCCGCAACAAGAGAGAATCCTGGGAGGTAAAAGTTTAACCAGGGATGGGGATAGGCAGTAAGGGGAGAGGAGAGAATGGGGTGGGTTAACTAAAACTAAAGATGTACAAAAAAAATAACCTATCAAAACACATTACACTTTGTAAGTTAATTTAAAAATATAATTTAAAAGAATAGAAGGAGATTGAATACACTTATCCTGCACTGGTGAACAATGATCCTCACCAGAAGATATGAATTATTAAATGAAAATCTCAGTAGAGGCATGGGATACCTCCCTATGACTTACTGGTCAGGGAGGCCCAGAGACCCCCTAAACAACACCAGCTACTGTCATTACTCCTGGATTCCCACCAGAACAAAATGGTAAGACCTTATTGCTGAAGACACGACACATTTTGGTTGCAGGACATACAGAAATTAAGCTGGGGGTGGAGAGCTGGAGAGATGCCTCCACTGCTTAAGAGCACAGGCTAATCTTGCAGAGGACCACAGCTTGGATCCCAGCACCCATGTGGCTGTTCATAACTGTCCTTAACTCCAGTTTCAGGGGCTCTGACGACTTCTTCTGGCCTCCACGGGCATGGCATGAATGTGGTACACTTACATACGTGCAAGCAAAATACTCCTACACATAAAATATAAATAATAAATAAATAGATAAATAAACAAATAAACAAACAAATAAATAAATAAATAAATAAGTAAATGAAATCAAGCTGGAACTGATCTGAAAACTTCCTCCCTACTGACCAGCTTTCGCAGTACTGGAATGCAGGCCGCTGGGGGGAGAAAAGGCATCAGTGGTATCCCTGGAGCCAACCATGCAAGCTACAACACTGACCTGTCAGGCAACATGTGCCCATTGGTGCAGAAGTGGCATGAAGGTTATGAGACTAACCAACTGCTTTGGGATTGGATTTGAGGCTTGCTCCACAGGAAGAAATTAGGCCTAGTTCTGTAAACATGTTCAAAAACCCACGGCTCAGAAGGTCACAGGCCCGAAGAAGGAACCTGTTCCTGTTGTTTTGCTAATTTACATGTTGTCAAACTGCTTCTAAATATTTATGCTTCTACCCAAAGATTAGTGTTACCCTCAGCCTTTGCCAGAGAAGCTTCGCTCTGCAGTGGTCAGCAGTTAATGCAAAGGCTCGTAACTGCCCAAAGTACTAAGACTAAGTGTCCATTGAGTCCGTAGCCCTAAATAGGACATCTATACCAAACCATCACTACCACCCCCACCAAGGCTCGGGGAACATCATGGAAGAAGGGCAAAAAGAATGTAAGAGCTGGAAGACGGGGAGGAGTGCTGTGGAATGCTGGCTTCCCAGCATGACACGGCCATGAACTCACTGTAGCTGTGATTACCTACATTAAATCAAGTCAACAAGATCAGGCAAACATTCCAGCTGGCAGCATTAACTGGACTTAGTGGGTTATTGACAAAAAAAAGGAAAGGACATCTTGTGTGTTTCTGGGGAGAATGGGAAGGAGTTGGAGGTGCATAGAACCAAGATACATTGTTCACATACATGAAACTATCAAAGAATAAATGAAAGATATTCTATTTTTCAAAGATCTTTTTAAAGATCAATCAGGACTTTGTGACCCCTAACAATTTATTTTCAAGAGAGAATCAGATATTGTTCATTACTACCAAATGATATGTTCATATTATAGCTATAGTGCCCTAGAAATGTCTGTTGATATCCCGGGCCTGGCCTGATTCTATCCTAAATGGTTTTCTTTATAGCTCACCACATATACGGAGTGGCAAACTATCTGGAGTTAGGACATATCTTCACAAAGACTGCTTTTTCTAGCTAATTTTTAGCTGATACATAGAAACACAAAAGTTGTGCATGTTAATGGGATAGGACTGTTTCTGACACTTCATACTAAGAAAAAATCCAAACACTGAAAGGAGACCACAGACCAGTGAATAAAGATGCAAAGATATTACTATTGTTTGTTAATCACAGGATTTTTTTTTTTAATGGAGTGCATCCATTTCTAATTACATTGGCACAGAGGTGGTTGGATGTATTTAAATGGTCTTTGTGCTTAGCACAGCATGTGGTAAATACTATTTGCTTCTGATAATGAAAGGGGAGAAAAAATAAGGGAATTCTGGCAAGTACGTGATTAATCTTACTTTAACGAAAAATATTTTAAAAATTTAATAACAGTGGGGAAGGAGGGCAGGAGAGAAAACATGGGGCAGGAGAGATGGCTCAGCAGTTAACAGCACTGGCTCCTCTTGCAGAGGTTCCGGGTTCATCTTCCAATACCCCCAAAGCCCCTAACAACCTAACAACTGTCCGTCATTCCAGTTCCAGCAGATCCAGTGTCCTCCATGCAATTACATACATGCAGGCAAAACAATAAATAAATAAATACAAAATAAGTAAATTTTTAAAACAGAGAAAACGTTCAAATGAAAAGAGAAGCAAAAAGGTAGAAAGACAAATATTACCACCAGATGTAGGCCCAAACTACTAATTCAAAGGAGCTCAAATTCAGGCATATTTTTTTCTTTTCAGTTTTCTATAATAATCTCACTGTGAAGACCTTCAAAATTAATTGATGTCTATAACGAGAATGTGAATAACCATACACCTCAGAAAGGAGCGTTACATGCTGACGTGTATCTCCCACGCAGGTGTCCAGGGTCAGAATTAATCTAACAGATGTACCCAGGGCTGATTTTCATGAATTTCAAATAGGTTAGTCAGCTCAGCTTCTAAAAACAGCAGATCTAAAGCAGCAAGATATTTGTTTTGTTTTTTATTTTCTGTCTTTTAAACCCAAAGCTACCTATAGAAGTGATCGAGACCTTAACTGCCATGGCATTCTCATCTGAAAGCGAGGCTTTGACGATGAGAGGCAGAGGAGCAGGAGATACCCCCCAGCTCTGTCCAGATGGCGGGCCCTGCCACAGCATGCTCCAACCTGCCCCTGATTTGAAAGGGCAAATTGCTTCATCGCCCTGCTGTTATTTTGACACAAATCCTCCAGGGCCATGGCCAGTACCAGAAAAAAGAACTGATCTCTGAGATTCGCAGACAGGCTTGAGGAACAAAATGCTGGGATGTGGTAGGATGGTTGAAAGTGGGTTAGATGAAATTATACCTCCAGCATGCTCAATAGTTGTCACAGTAATGGGACTTTGTGTCAATAGAAAATTCCTTGATATCAAGACCCTTTCCCATGTAACCTCCATTCAGAGAGATATTAGTAAAAGAAATCAGCCAAAGATGTACAATGGAAGCATCAAGAATATATACATTTCCTCCTTCAAAGGAAAACGGAGTTCTACCTGCAGTATTTTTAGACAATGAAGAAAATACTGTGACCACAGCTTACTTTACTTTTAAGCTTTTAAGGAACAGAATAATCGTGCTAGAAAGGGCAAAAGGAATGAAGAAAGGAAAAGCAGAGACTGAATAACTTGCCTGACATCACAGCAAATCAGGGCCAGAGCCAAGGCAGTAATTCAGTGTTTCCAATCAGCAGGCCTCTGCTTACAGTCAAGGCACATTGATTCCTAGGCTGCAAAAATCACTTAATGTTTTCAATTACTCTGAAAGGCCCAGAAGGAAATAAAGAAATCACACTTACCTTTGACAATCTGCTTTGCACAGGCATTATAGACCTGCTCTTGGGTTGTGTTGGGCGGCAGCACTCTGTCAAAGACATATGGCTTCCCTTGCTGAAAAAGAGATAACAAAAGAAGAGGGTGGAGAAAACTCATTAGAAGGTTAGGTCTAAAAATCTCTGATAGTAGTAGTTAGACCATAGGCAACTAAATCACCATCTCACTCTTTAAGGCAGTTTCTTGCCTCACCACAAACCTTTACAGCATGAACCACATGTGCACTGTGTGTGTATACTGGGTATTAAGAACCTGAAAACAAAAATTTCTTAAATCTGAAACACTTTCTTAGATGAAAAGGTAGACATTTTATTCATCTGAACATTTATTGAGAATTTACTCTGGACTAGTTGCAGAACAAACCAGTAAACAGACCTGAATTGTTAATTGTTCAATTAAGTGGAGCAGATCGCTAATAAGCAGGAGAGTACACATGGGAAAATTCAAAACGCCCAGATATGAAATGATGGGACAGAGGGCATGGCTGAGAAGTCCTCAGTTCAGAGGATCATGAAAAGTTCAGAAAGATGGATATTAGAAAAGTGCTACAGAAGAACATTCCAGACATGGGCTGAGCAGACACACAGGGTCTGGTGTGTTCATGAAACAAGCTGAGGTTGGCAAGGAAATCAAGAGCCAGTGCTTGAAGGGCACTGCTGGCCAAATAAATAAATAAATCCTGCCTGGGCTTTATTTACTGGGAAGATGACATGGTCAGATCATTCTCAGTAGGCAGAGAGTACTGCTCTTATCTCAAAATTCAGCATTTCTTTTATACACAGAAGTGATGCTTCTGTGTATAAACTGGTTTGAAGCTTCTAAACCAAAAGAGCCCTTCTGCACAATAAAACAAGAGATTTGGGGAGGAGGGCTGTTCAGAGGTTTGGCTGATGGCTGCACCATGTACAATTCAAGGAAATCACCATTATACAGGGAAGGAGAGACCTCTACCGCAGCACCACATAGGCCCTGCTATCTGGTCACTCACTGTTCAGTAAGGATTACTGGATATCTCTGTGCCAAGCACAGCACTGAACACTGGGAGAAGGCAGGTAAGACACAGGGCCAAATAGCACTTCTCCATCAACGTGCCCAGGTAAGAAGTAACCCTCCTTTTCCACAGCCTGATCCACTCAGGAGCTCCTTTTTTCTTTGTTTTTCTCAAATAAAAAAGAGAAAGGCAGAAGACAAAGCAGGAGAGAGGACCGCCAGAGCCTTCCTAGCCCACCCACACCTACTATGGGCTCTGGCCCAAGGACAGACTGACTCCTTGAAGAACAAGGCTTGTTAGATCCTATAACCTTCACACAAAGTAAGTACTTAACGCTTGCTCATCACCATGGCTAGAAATGACTGGAGATGAAATCCTACAGTTTAGACAGTATGTTTGCACTTAATCTTGGGAAACAGGTAATAAGCTACTTCCAATTTGACCTTAGAAAAATGGAGAATTTTTAGGAACCATAAAAGGAGAGTTGATTTATGCACAGCAGAGCCAGGCTTTCTGATAAAAATTATGGGAAGGGATTATTTTCGGATGTTTGGTTCCCAGTTTTCCTTTTGGTTATTGAATCAAGTATCCTGTTAAATAACCAAAAAATATTCCTCACCAAAATACACTGCCAACTCTCTTATTTTTTATACGTTTTTAAAATTCAATCAAACAGGGGCTGGAGAGATGGCTCAGTGATTAAGAGCACTGGCTGCTCTTGCGGAGGATCCGTTTGGTTCCTAGCACTTACACAGCAGCTAATATCCATCCCTAACTTCAGTTCCAAGGGATCCAACAGCCTCTTCTGACCTCCTTGGGCATTGCATAACACGGGTGCACTTACACACATGCAGGCAATATACTCATACACATAAAAAATAAAATAAAAATAAGAAATAAAATATTTTTTTTAAATTCAACCAAGCCAGGCGTGGTGGTGCACACATTTAATCCCAGCACTCCGGAGGCAGAGGCAGACAGATCTCTGTGAGTTCAAGGCCAGCCTGGTCTACATAGTGAGTTCCAGGGCAGCTGGGGCTACAGGGAGACCCTGTCTCAAAAAGACAAAAAAACCCAAATAGCCTGATATGGTGGTGTAGGCCATTAATCCCAGCACTTGGGAGGCAGAGGCAGGTGGCTCTCTATGAGATTGAGACCAGCCTGGTCTACATAGTGAGTTCCAGGTGGGCTGGGGCTATGGGATTCTCTGTCCAAAAAAAAAAAAAAAAAAGAAGAAGAAGCCAGGCATGGTGGCATACAGCTTTAGTCCCAGCTCTCAGGAAGTAGAGGCAGGCAGACCTCTGTGAGTTCAAGGCCAGCCTGATCTATATAGTGAATTCCAGGCCAGCTGGGGATACAGGAAACCCTGTCTCAAAAAAATGGGGGACTGAAGAGATAGCTCAGCGGTTAAGAGCACTGGCTGCTCTTGCAGAGGACCCAAATTTGGTTCCCAGCTCCAGCTTCAACAGTTTCAATGCAACAGGCACCCACACCCAAACACACACATAGGCACACAGACACAGACACACACACAGAGACACACTTTATTATTACAAATGATTAAAATAAATCTTTAAATTTTTTAACATTTGTGGAGGGTAAGGGTCTATCTCTAGAGTTCTTGTGCAGCATGCATGAGGCCCTGGGTTCAACCCCAGCACTGAAAAAGAAAAAAGAAAAATATATTTACAGAATTTGCCTAAGATACTCACTGAAACTTCTGGAAAGAAAAGACATTTTTACTTAATTTAAAATAAATCCATTATTTTTCAAAACCTAGTGAGAACTACTAATGTAAATTACCTTGTTTACAGCATAATCCTGCTTGGAGTTTTATGTCCTTAATACACAAATGTACCTAAGCAAGAAGAATGACCTATTCAGTTATGGTATGTAGGATGGAAAGATAGGATGCCCCAGTTTTGTCTTTCAGTTTAAGTTGTTTGTTGGAATAAAGTATATTTTAAGAGCGGTAGAAAACAAAATTTCATTAATTCAATTTTTTTTTTTTTTGAGATAGTGTCTCACTATGTCACCTTTGCTGGCCTAGAGCTCACTACCTAGACCAGGCTGGCCTTGAACTCACACACCATTTACCAAATGAAGAACAGATAACATGATACTTTTAGATGACGTAAAGTGCTAACTCCCTAACAACAACTGCCTTTAAGCTTTTATGGCTGGTTGGTACTGAGAAAAGAGGAAATTTTGAAAATAATTTGTTATAAGACCCATCTTGTTAGGATTAGCATATTAAGTTGTTAAAAACATAAGCATTTAAAAGTGTCCTTTCACATACTGAGTTAGTTATATAGGCTTTTACTTTAAATGAACCTTAAAGTCTTTGAAGCGAGTGATTAGAATTGTTACTGAGTATTTTCGGGGACCTGATTTATACCAGTTGTATATATAATTTCTCTCTCTCTCTCTCTCTCTCTCTCTCTCTCTCTCTGTCTCTCTCTCACACACACACACACAGACACCCATGTTAATAGTGAGAATATCTCACAAATTCTGTTCAGAACAGGAACAAAGACCCTTCCCCAGAACCCCCAAGGGACAAGATTCTCCCAGGGCTGAGGGTGCTGCAGGCAGTCGCCCCAGCTTGCTCTAGTCATCGCTGAGTTTGCAACTGTAGACAAAATTGAAACAACATTGCTGTGTGGGTGCTGGATACTGGCTTAAACCTGGACGGGGCCACCATTCACCATCCTCTGAGGACACATTTCCTTCCCAGATGCCTTCTCAACACGTGGTCTCTGACTATCCACGCCACTGTCCTTGGCTAGCATCTCTTTCAGGTTTCTAAATGATGAAGTCCTGGCCTAGACCTGGGCCTCTTTCTGTTGTGCTCTTGACTTTCATGTAATTTAAATGACTCTGCTTTCATCTCTCTTCTGGCCTCCAGGTTTATATGCCTATGCCTACTAGACATTTCCATTCATGTGGGTGGTCATTAGTCACCCTAAACTTAATTAGCTACAACAGAACCATCACAATCTCCATACCTGAATAAGAACTATACCAGCAATCACCTAGACGGTCATGCTGAACACCTAAGACTCATTCGGCATGTACCATAAGTTCTGAATCCAAAATATAACCGAAACACTACCATTTCTCACCATGTATATGACACAGTTGAGCCAATAATTTCTCTGTCAATTTCTTGAACAGAGCTGCAAAGCCTTCTGAGCAGTCTCCCTGATGCCCTTCTTTCTCCTACCAATCCACGTCAACAGCTGCCTGAGTATCTAACACAAAGTCAGATGATGCCTCACATCACGTCCTCCGTGGCTCCTGTCTTACTCAGACTAGACTCTCTTTGCCTTGGGCTGCCTGCCCACTCCTCTCTCACTGCAGTGTGGCTGACTGGACAACTTCCTTGCATCCTGCCCACTCAGTCTGCTCTAAACTTTTCTTCCCCTTGGAATCCTCTTCAAACCTTCATTTGGCTATCTCCTCACCATCCTCCTTATCGCAAATTCCTCCTCCTTTAGGGCTTCTGTGAGTCTAACTAAAGCAGCTCCACCTCTCTGAGGCCTCACTAACACCTGGCGATTTGGTTAGTTCCTTGGTAATTAGTACATGCTTATTTCCAACCAATCAAATGAACAGGCTACAATTAAGGCATTTAACCAGCTAGACTAGAAGTCATGCAAATCCCAAGCCCTAAATGTATGTGGGCAAACCTGCTGCACCTCCCAAAGGGAATCTGGATGAGGCACACTCCACATTCATTACGACAGAAAATGAAGCTTGCCAGCATTATCACGAAGCCTCCATGTTGAGCAGTGCAATTGCACAGGAGAATAGCTAAAATTAATAACCTACCAGGATCACACACAAAAATAACAGCAGATGGTTCTTACACTTTTATAGTTAAAATTAAAAACAAAAATCATGCCACCAGAATTCCTATCAAGTTGTTGAGAGCAAAATGTCTGTGAACCATATGGCCTGCCTATTAATACATCTGACCTGTTACCCAACAACTGTTCCTCAGCCTGCAAGAAACTCTACTGTGGGAGACAAAGGAAAGCAGCCGATTCAGAATGTTTAGATG